TAATAATAATGTTAAAAAGAAGTCTAATTTTAAACATCACTTTAATCTCTTAATATTTATATTTCCTTGAATTTTTTAAACATTACTTTGAAGTGAACTTAATTTTGTTTGCCAGTGTAGTGGCACATGTGCGCTGCTTCTCCAACGTTGTGTACATTTTGCCACGAAGTGTGTAACTCGATATGACCTTCTACTTAATAAAGGCTCTTCATATTGCCGCACTGGACATGAGTCCTGCGTCCTTATTGTTGCTATTGCTGTGGCACATATATATATTTTATATTCTATATTCAATGCGCGTGGCCTTATCCAGAGCTTGGGATGCAGGACGCAGGACGCAGGACATGTATGGAGCATTCTGCTGTTCATCGCCTCAAGTTGGTTCAGTTTATTTGATTAGTTCGTGTGTGTGTGGGGAGTATATTGCATATGTGTGTGTGCTCTGTGTGTGTGTGTGTGTTTTAGCCAGGCCGATAAAGTTTCAGCAGCTGCAAATATGGCAAACAATTTCACAAAGTGGCCAATGGCAAAAGTTTGCCACTGCCAATCGTCTTATTAGCTAATCGTTGACTTTGTCCATTGCCATCTCTCTGTCTTATCCTCTCTTTCTCCTCTACTTTCTCTTTCCCATTCCCTCTCCCTTTCTCCATTTCTCTCATTTCGCATTTAGTATTATTTTGCCTCCTTTCTTTTCTCATTTGGCACCTAATTAGTTGACTTGTCCAAGCAACTGAGCACAAGGCGCAGAAATCTCATTGGATTTTGTCTTAAATTCAGCCTTCAATTCATTCACTTCAATTAGGGCAATTTTTCTGATCCCCTAAGGAAAAGGTCATGTTTAGTTTTAGATATATAATAATATATATAATATATAATATATTTGAGTACGATAAAATTGATGGTTTTAACCAAAAACATATTTCTTGGACATAATGTCTTGTAAGATTTATATTTTCTTGTCTGTAATTTTAAAAATTAATAATTCATGATATAATGATATTATGACATACAAGTTATTATTATTATTATATTAGTAAACATAATGTTCCTTTAATAAAGAAATAATTACTTGATTCCAATGGACCCCTTTTTTGTTTAGTTTTATGTTTCAGTTAAAAATCAGACTTCTAGTTATTATAAAACTAAGAAAAACACCAAAGTCCATTCAAGTTTTATTAAATTTCTTTTAATATTATATATCCTGTATCTTTTCCTGTAATTTTATTGAAAACTCAGCTAGATGAGTTTCCTAGATAATTGTCAGCGACCTGGAAAAAAAAGAACAAAGTGGTAATAAGACTGAGCCTCCTTTCGGAGTTAAGGATAAGATTTTCCCCTTTTTTTTTCTCAGACCAAATGGAAAAATCTGACCTTATCAGGACAACACCATCTCCTTCGCCCAGCTTCATCATGTCTTTGTGTTTGTGTGTGTGTAAGCGTGTGTGTGTGTGGGTATAAAGGGATGTGTCCTTATCAGAGGCAACACATCGCAGTCTCGTTCACTTGCAACTTTTGTTCAAGTCTTTTCCAGCTTTCTATGTGCGTTTTTTTTTCGTTGTTTTGGGTCGGAGGTGTGCTAAGGATATTTTCCTTTGGCTTTTCATTAAAAAGTCTGAGCCTATCGGACCGTGTAGATCTTTAACTACGAATAGTCGCTGGCTCTAAGTAGGGGTATGACTTCTATCTACTTTTGCACTGGAAAAAAGTGCGGGGGTATTTTAATTAATCGGAAATGGAGGAAATAAATATTAGAAGGAGTATATAGAAAGGGAAAGGATAGATTAATTTGGGAAATATCAAGTTTAAGATGTCTAACTACAGAACATTGCTCCTAATTATATTATTTTGTAATAATATAATCGTGGGGAATACATGTTCCAATTCCTAAATTGATATTCTCTGTGTAAGTTTGGTATCTTTTCTAGACTCCTCTTGGCCTTCTTTTGTTACCTTTTGTCTGTGAGCATAAAATTGTCGAGTTGTGCAGAAAATTTTTATTGCTGAAAGGTGCTAAAATGAAAAGTGCTGATGCCAAATGCTAATGGCACGAAGGGTGGTATTTTCTTAACTTGTATTTTTTTCTTGTGTCCTCTGTTCTTGTTTTTCAGTATAAATATATATATATCTTTGCTACAGCTTCCGTGTTTTCTTTTGGTTGATAAACTCAAGTTGCAGCAGCTCCCATTTCTTGGCACCTTTCCTTTAATTATTTAAATTAAAAATTTCTAGGAGACACCGAGTATGTGTGTGTGCATGTTGATGATGATGGTGAGTTGAAGTGTCGACTGGAGCCACTTGGCACAGTTTTCAATCTCTCTAGTCACAACAAAACTGGCGCGTTTAATTAAGCAAAGTGGCCACCATTTTTCCCGCTTTTTCCCCCAACTCACATATACAAACATTTTCCTGCTGCGGCTTTTGGCTTTCAAGAGTTTGTCTCGTCTTTCCCTCTGCCTCTTGTCTTTTTGGCTAAGCTTCCGCTTTTCAGCTTCATCCTTCTTCGCTCCCTTTTTCCCCCTTTTGTATTTTCCCTGCTAATTTTGTCTAATTTTGCAAAAAGGGCGGAGGCCGTTGGCTTTTCCAACGTTGGCAGATATGGCTTTAAGGCAAAATGACTGCGTTTTCTTTTTCATTTTTTTTTTTTGTTGTATTACTTTTTAGTATTTGTTGTAAATATTCCATTTCTTTTGTCTTTTACCTGTGTGTGTGGGTGTAGGAGTGTTTGTGGCAGCCGCCATAAAGCCTTGCCACTCCAATTGCAGTAAGGAAGTTGCAAAGTGCTTCCTTCTGCCTTCCATTTTCTTCCCCCTTTTGTTTGTTTGTTGCTTCTTTTTTGGGAAAATGTGAGTGCATTCTGGGCGAAAAAAATAGAAGGCAGAAAAAGGTGTGCGGGCATTTTTCTTTCCTTTTTCGCAGGAAAAGCAGAAATGGTAGCACTTAGAAACAAAGATATTGTCGCACTTAGGTATTCACTTTAGCTTAAATATATAAAGTTATTTTTGTAGAAGAGTTAGTGAGTTGTATAAAAAATTATATGAGAAATGATTTAGGGGTTAGTAATAGGATTTATATTATTTATTTATTTTAGCTGTATTAGAAAATTATAAATAAAATGTTTTAAGGGGGATTAAGGTTTTGATATGATTATTTATTTATTGTATTTTCTTTTGTATTTATGTATTTAGTATTTGTTATTCAAAAATACGTAAGTAAGCTTTTGTTTCTCTTTCCCCTAAAATAGTTTATTGATTTATTCCTAGAGCCCACAAGTTTGAATTTTATATTGTTTGCTTAAGTCAAAAGCCTTGTTTATTTTCTTAATTTGTACATTTATACATTTCCTTATTTTGTCTATAAAATCTGCCCAGAAAAACCTCCTTCAGGACCAAGTATAAATGCAGCAAATCGACTTTTTCTTGATTGCAGCAATCCCCTCTCCAAGATGCAGTCATCAATATAACCTCTATGGCCGCTTGCCAGATAAATATCCTGTCATCTAATTTGTTCTTATTCAAGTCCCTGTTTCGTTTTCGATTTCGATTCCAATTTCGGCTGTCTTTGGCCAAAAAGTTCTTGATGAACTGCGGTTGAAATGTTGTTGGCAACAACAAATGCATTCTTTTCCGGAAAGAAGTTAAGAGAGATGTGGGAAGGAAAATCCCTACACTTCCATTACTTTTATTATTTTTTCGCTCTGCTCGGAAAGGAGATTTCTTAATTTTTCATTTTGTTGTCTGTGCGATGTGTGTGTGTGTTTGTGTTTGGCTCTTTGTGCAGATTGAAAAGCGCAGTCAAGCAGTACTTATCCACCGCACTTTTCCTCCAAAATTGAAGCAAGAAATGAGCAAGTAAAAAGAAAGGAAAAATATATATAAAGTGGAATTTTTTTGTTATCCTGAAGTCAGACTAGACAGCAATCAAGGCAAGTGCAGGTGCTCGTGGCACACGATTCCAGGGGAAAAAGGACATGGCACCCCTCTTATGCTTTTCTATTTTAGCTGACATTTTTTCTTTTACCATTTTTTTTTTAAATCATATTTAACGCTCAATTATTGACGTTCAAAGTCGAGGATGTCGCAGACAATGACAAACTAATGGCCGCCTTGGTGGTCCTGGTGGTGGTTGCTCTGTCGACTGGGAAATGGCAGTCAAGTCAATGTCAAAGGACATGGAGAGAGTGAGGACTGTCATTTGGCACTTAATATCTCAGCGTTGCTCGGTGCTTGATGCTTTTCCCCAGCTCAAATGACAATTTGTAAAGCTTTCAATGGAAGAAGCAGCCTATAAAATATATATATATCTACGTGATGACTATGCCCCACCAGCAATGGCAATATCTTCCAACTAAGGGTGGGTTTTTTTTTTTTTTTAGCCTTCATGGAGGTAGGAATTCTGTGTGTTGAAGGTGCCTCTCCAGTAATCAATCACTCAATCAATCAGCAAATAATATGCAATGCAATTTCTCGTCTCTACAAAATGTTTGCCAGCCAAAACTTCCGCTAAAAGGAAGCTCATTGTGGCCAAATGCTGAGGGGAGGTGGCTTCCTGAGTTCCTGGCTCTGGCCAGGATTTCGAGGAGGGTTGGGCGGCCAATCAAGTGAGGAGGTAATAATTGTAAGCCTCGAAAGCAAAAGCAAATCAAAGTCTCTGGCAGGCAAGGCCAAAAAGGATATTCAGATGATGAAAAGGAAGTGTACACAGGAATTGGCAGGGCAGGGCAGGAGTCCCAGTTTCTCATTTGGAAAAATATACGTTTGCCTTTCATTTGATGTCTAATTTTATTTCTTCTTTTATATACATTTTTTCTTGGCTACAAACGAAAAACGTTTTTGGAATTGCAGATTTTTTGCTGATTACTTTTTTGCAAATACAAAATAAGCTCCGATAATTAATTAAAGTCAACAGGGCATGGCATTAAAGATAACATTAGTACCGATATTCATCCATAAATTAAAAGATAGATTATGTTTACTAGATCTTTTTGTACTTTTTTATATGCTTGCAATAAAAATTAACCAAAAATTTTAACAATGTTTAAGCAATTAAAATCAGTTTTTATCCCTTTGCTTATGGTTCTGACTGCAATCGTCCTGATCAATTGTAGATTTCCCAATGCCATCACCTTCTCCAGAACCAGATTGTGTCAGATTCTCAGTACTATAATGCAAAGGACGAGCGGAGAACAGGACTTTTACTTCCTTCTCCAATTTACTTGGAGTTGGTTCATCTACGGGACTGTTGCTACGAGTGCTAATATCCGGGAATCCTAATTCTTTGCAATTCTTTTATCGAGTTCTGGCTGCTCTTTACACTCCAGAGACGTCCAGGACTTGTTCATTTGAGGAATCACTTTGGGTGGTATAAAGCTATCAATGCTGCAACGCATCCCATGTGGCGTATTAGGCATACTTTGCGTCTTTTTGATCTTATATGGTTCAGCACCTTTGTTTAATTCCATTCCTATTCGAGGCGTTAAGGTTGCATATATGGCATTATCTCTGCTAGATGATTGAGATATGGTCTGTGCTTCACCCGATGTCTGTAAAGAGTTGTTTTCATCTAGGAAAATAAAGAAGAATGTAAAATGAATGCTCCAAAGTCATTAAACTAGGCTTCAAGGATAACTAGAATTTAAGGACATTAAGACTGAGACTCACTTGTGGGCACACTGCGTCCTAGCATATCAGTTCGAGTATAGATCGTTTTTCGACGAACACTCTGTTGTGTCTGATTGCCACCTGGATTTGGTGCTACCTGTTCGGAAGTTGAAGGATCCAGAATTTGCTGAAGGCCTTGATCGTCTTCGAGATTCATGGAACCCATTTGTGCAAGGAAATCGCGATCTGTTGCCATATTTGTTACCATCAGAATGTCGCGTCTCGTAGCTAATGAATAATTGTTAATATTTGTTAGTTAATGTAACAGTTGTTATACTTTCGGAGCACAGATGTTGTGTAACGATGTGGGTTAGGAGAGTGAATGCCTTGGGTACATTATCTGGAATGACAACCGAGCACGAGACAGCAAAGAAAGGGGTTACTATGTATAATAAATTCATAAACAATTCCAAAAGTAGATATACGAATAAGATCACCAATAAATTAACCAATTTAATCTTGAATAAAAAATGTAAACAAAAATAATAATAATAATAAATGTAACTTTACAATCAATTTAACTAAAATATAAACTCTAAATTCAACAATAAATTCAACAATACATTCAACAATAAATACATCAATTATTCTTGCGATCAATTCAATTCAATTCAACAATTATTTCATTAAAATAAATACACCCATAAATTCACCAAAAGTTTTAACAATTAATTCACCAATAGCAATTTAAATTTGATTTTTTAATATATCCTTTATTTACCTATAGATGTCACTTGATTATCTGCATAAATTTCCATTCAAATGATAATCCGATATATTCTTATTTCAAATTAAATTCAGTACTCGGCATTTGTTTTTTGGAGAAATAAATTTTTGCAATGACCAAGCAGCTTCTCTGGTGTCGCAAAACTTCGATGATTAACTTTTTCGATTAACTGAAAACTCACACAGACACACAACACACGCACACACAAGCACACGTGCGCGCCCAAGTATGCAATGGAAAATAGCGAAAATAAGCAAGCAAACAAAACAAACGAACAAACAAACAAACAACAAGAACAACCAGCAGCAGGACCAAAACTGAAAACTTTTCATGGCGATAAACAATTTTCAGCGCTTTCTGTGCTCAGTCAACCTCCCAAAATCCACCAACACTCTTCCCTGGTGTAGATGTGTGCGTGTATTTTTTATGGCATAAATTTATTTTAATGTCTATGCTTAACAATTTCGAGTGCAGGATGCCCTCCTGCGGCCTCCTGCGTCCTCCTGTCCACTGGACTATACACTCAATCAGCTGCTGCCTAGCCAAAGTTTGGAACATGCCACGCCCACGCCCACCCTTCACACTCCCCCTCATTTCTTCGCCTTTTGCCGGAACGAACTTTTGCATATTGATAAGGAGAAGCCGAGAGAAGCAAAAGCTGTACCAGATAAAACATATTAAAGCCAAAACGGGAGAACACCCAGAGGAAAAAAAAGAAACCAAAATGTTGAATGCCAAAATAAAGGGAAGCAGTACAGGGAAAAAATAAAGCCTAGGCTGTTAATTAATTGGGAAGAGATTATTTTTAAATTGGAACCTTTTGAATAAGAATTAATCTATTTTCTAAAACAGAAGAAAAAATTCACCAATAATCTTTAAATAAATTCATTGGTGAATAGCATAGCATATTATTGATATAACCAAAAAACTATTCAATAGATTCACAAAGTTAAACAAAGTATGAATATATTAAACAACTAACTCACTAAGAAATTCACCGATAAATAAATATGATTCTCCAAATAAAATTATTAACAAAATCACCAATAAACTTATTGTGAATCTAAAAATCTATGAATTCTGCGAAAATTTATGACTACAGTCACTAATGAACTACCTAATAAATTCACTTAAAAGCCTATAAACTTTCTGATTAACTTATTATGATTTTACCACTAAACTAATAAATAGATTCACCATTAAACGTATAAATTTTCCCCAATGAATTAATTAAATGTCGTGAATGATAACATTTAGCGGCTGAATTCATTTATTAAGGAATTCAATGCTCCTATATATGTTTTGGTAAAATCTTATTTATTCTTAATCTTATTATTTGGATTATTATAATATTATTATTATTATCGGATATCAATATAGTTCGATTTTCTTCTCTGTGGCCCGCATACCTCTCTCTGTCTCTCCATATATATGTACATATCTTTGTTTATTGTTTTTCTCTGCCATTTCCTCAATTCGGCCTTTCCCGGGAATCTGATTGATGTCTGTCAGTTAGGCAAATGTGTGTGTGTGTGTGTGTGTGTGTGTGTGGAAAACCTTTATCAATGCACGGGGAATAGGAGGTGGAAAAGTAATAATTATAGGAGAATGTTTAAGCCAAAGGCAATTGTTCGTGATGATAAATGATGTGGGAGTTTTTTGGATTTGGGCCAGTACCACCATTCCCTACCGGCTCCAGCCTCATCAATAATACCTCCAGCTTCCAGCAAGCGAAAAAAAGAGATATATACATACATATAATATATATGTGAGAACAGGATATATCCAGACCCCAATGGAGTCACAACTAATGAGGCCATCAGCCGGAGCGGAGTTGCCGCAATGCCAGCTGTAAAATATTCAAATAGAACAATCAAAAGTAATCTACCAAGTTGCTTTTGGGGAAACCCTCAAGGAGGTGCCAAGGAAAGCCAAAGGAAATAAACCATACCCAAAAATGCAGGGCAAAAAAAAGGAAGCAGAGAAAACAATAAAAACTTGAGCAGGAAAATTTCCCCAACGAGCAATTTTTTTGTTTGATTTTTTTTTTCTTTTTTTTTTTGGGCCAAAAGTAAAACAGAAATTGAGTAAGGAACACAAAAGAAATGAAAGAAACCCAAAACCAAAACCGAAACTTAAAAGTAACGCTTTGCAAAAAAAAAAGAAACATATATATATATAACGAAACTGTGGCAACAATTTTCCGTACAAGTATGATAAGTTGGGGAAAGGGGGAAAACCCCCCAGTGAGAGCCTGTGTACTTTTCAAAACTGTTTTAAAAGCTTAACCACAAGAAAACTGCGAATATTCCCTAATGACACACGAAAAAGAAAAAAAAAATGAGGGCGGGGAGAAGTCGGAAAATTTGGCACACAAAGCTGAGGGGGTATTGTGTGAAAGGTTTTTGCCTTTCTTCGTTTTTCCATGTTTTCTTTTCTTTTTTTTTTTTTGTTTTTTTGCGGACTCCCCAAATGGTGATGAAGGCCTTGTCTCTGAAAATGAGGAGGAAAAGTGTGGGGAAGTCTGGCGAGAATAGTCGGCAAAAGCCAAAACCGAACAGAGAGAACAAAACGAAACGCATTTTCCCAGAAGCAAGGAACAGGAACAGGAAAATGTGTATGAGAAAAGGCCGTATTTCTTTTCCCAGAGACCTGAGACTCAATTGCTGTGAATATCTGCATAGGCGTAATCAGGATTCTTGGGGGATTGCCAATGGCAAAAGCCGGAAAATGTGGGCGAAAAAAATCTACCTAAGTGCTGGAATTAAATCAAGACATAAACGAAAAATAAATCAAAGTTCATTTTGATGGTAAAAAATAATTATATATTTTATTTAGTATTTTATTTGAGTCTCTTATTCAAAAATACATATTAAATATTATATATTTCCCACCCACATAATATTTACTACCTAACTTACTCCCTTTTTTATTTATTCAAAAAGTTAATTCTCCCTCAATTACAGTTTAACTGAAATATATATATATATCCTTTGCGTTGTCCTTGTTGAAATCAAATTGAATTACAAGAGAGATGAAGCAAAATCGCTGAAAGTAAAAAAACAAACGAACGAAATTTCATTCTCATTGCCAGTGTAAAATTGTAATTTTTACACCTTCACACCCAGCCACACCCTACCCATTTTCCATTTTCCACTCTCACTCCCTTTTCCTTCTCGTGGGAAATGCCGGTGCCACTTGAGGAACTTTTAGTGCGTCTCAATGCGCATTTTAAATAAAATAGAAATTCAATTTACTTTAAATAAGCGACAAGGTGTGTGGGTGGGGATAACAAGGTGACAAGCGGGCGACACGTCAATGCCAGAGTTTCCACAGCTTTTCCGCCGCACAAATGAAATGTAGAAAAAAAAAATAAAGAAAAGTGAAAGAAAACGAAAAGTTTTCTCTTTTTTCTCTCTTACTAAATGAACTTAAAATTGACTAAATGTGCTAGAAAAAAGGTGCGAAGCTCCTTGGGGAGATGCCGGGAAATGCCAAGGAAAATCGAGGGAGTGGGGTGGAAATTGAGGGATGCGAAGAACAAGCAACGAATATAATTAAGCGGCGTTTAAAATGCTTGTACTAAGACACGCGGCAGCGGAACAGGCTGAAAATTGTGTGGAGGCTGCGTTAATTGTGGGGGTTGGAGGGGGGAAGTGGTTGGAAAAACTCGAAAAACTTTCCGCAAAGTTTAATTTAAATATGAATGAGCGTTTTTCCAACCACCCACCCAATTTCTTTTCCCTTCCCTCTCGACTGCTGCTTTCCTTAACGTCCTTTTCATTTTCTTCTTAAAAATAGATGGACTTTCGCCGCAAAACGAGCTTGTCAAGCGCCAGCGGTTTCAATTATAGTTGAATAAATACTTGGGAAAATTAATTGTTGTGTTGTTAGATTACAAAAAATATTAATTTTCAATTTATAAGGTTTCTTTAGAGATTTAAAATTAATATTAAAGCTTAAAAGTTATCTAAAATTAATATTAAAGTTTGAAAGTATATCTAAGGTAAATCAATCATTGGAAAAATATTTAGCACTGATCTAGCTAATGTTTTTAAGTCGTAAATATTTATTTTTCAGTGTCTAGGGTATATCTAAATTATGGAAATAATTTTTCAAGGGTGTGTTTTAGTTATAAATCAATATTTATCAAGATTTTTCCAAGACAATATTTTAGGACAAATCAAAATTTAAAAAACTCATAACTAAGACAAAAATGCATTAATTTCAATGCGGTAAGCTTTCCTATGCTAGTTTTTGTTAGCTTAATAAATCTGCATACTAAATTTCAAATTATAAAGAATTCCATTTTTTATGATTTTTTTTCTCTTAATTTTAATGAAATAACGCCTTAAAAAAATTGAAAAAATTTTCAATTTATTTTTTGCTCTTAAACTGGTCTAGATCGATTCGGCTGTTAATGCTGATCAAGAATATATATATTTTATAGGGTCGAAAATGACTCCTTTACTGAGTTTTAAGCTTCCAAATGAATGCGTAATCCTCTTTGTAAAAATGTATTTAATGACACCTTTTTTTTGTCTAGCAATTGATATGTATCTTGTTTTACATAAAATTCTTTAAATAAATCATTTTATAGGCAATGGTAGAAATATATTTGACAAATAACCAGCAAGTGGTCTTTAGAAAAGCTTTAATACTTTTATTAAGCATTTAGAAACCATTTCTGAAAAGCTAATCCTATATTTTATTAAGTTAGACGAAACTTTATTTAATTATTTTAGTTAGAAATATTAAATTTGTATAGTATATTTTTGTTTTAACCAACAGTCTGCTCCTATTTTAATTACACAACTATTTTACTATAATTCAAGTGCAAAAAACACCCCCTCTTGTATACATATTTATTCCCTGAAATGAGGAAATCCTTCCAAGAAGCAAAACTGAGCGGCTTGGCTTGCCTTGCCTTGTTTTTCCAAAGTTACTTCTTCTTCATCGTCTTTTTCACCTTCTGTTGGGGAAAACTGCTGGCCGACTTAAAGGGGCATTATAAATTGCTACCTAATCCAACGGACTTAAGGCTCCTCTCCTCCACGGTGTGTGTGTTTGTTTTCATTGCCACGATGGTTGGAGGGTTTTCTTGGGATGGAAAATGAAGGTCTGAAGCATAAATCCGAGGGTGAGAAGTCTCCGGCTTTGATTTCGCTTTATGTTCGGGCATCACAACAGATTTGCTTTGCTGGCCATATTGTGTTGCCTGATTTTCTCCCTCCCCCCGCGGCATTTTGCCTTTGTTGTTGCCAGGTGATAAGGCAAATCGCATTCACTGCTCCTCGCCAGAGTAAACCGCAGCAAAGGATCAAGGCTAAGGCTTTGCCTCTAGCAGACCGGTTCTAAAATCGCGTTTTTCGCATAATTATAAAGCAGCTTTTCGAGTGCACTTGCCACAAAAGTAGTAGAAAAAAAGTATATATAAAAAAGTATAAAAAAAAGTAAAATAAAATGATGCTGGTGGTGGGTGTGGTTGGTCCATTGATGGCCAGGCGCCAAACTGGCGGCCGCCAAACCCCACACAACAAAAAAAAAGCGCAGAAACGAGAGAAAAACTGGGGAAAAAAGGCGAGGAAAACAAACAAAAACAGACATAAATACAGTTGGGGATTTATATCGCTTTCTCTGAGTCTGTGTGTGTGTGTGTGTGTGTGAGCGCAAAAGGACACTTGTAACACTTGTAAGATAACGGGGGGAGCATCTTGCTCTATCTTTAGTCTCCTCTCCTTTTATCCTCTTTTTCTCTCTCCCTTTTTGACTCTAATCAATTTATTGAATTTATTTTTTCTGATTTTATTAAAGCGCGCAAAAAGCATTGATAATAATAGGCAAGAAAATGACACGACTAGGGAGATACCTTTTACTAGGGTTTAAGTATCTGCAAAAAGTATAGCATACATTTAAGGGCTTTCTAAGTAACTAAGGGAATTTCTCTGTTCTCTGCTTGTAAATAAAAATAAATGAAATATTGATTTGTTTATTAATAAATTCAATAAATAATTAAATAGGTTATGATACTTTTTAACTAATTTTAATAATAATTAACTCATAAATATCTTATAGTTCTATATAGAACACTATAAAATATAGATAGTTATGCCTACTGCGGAAAAAAACATTAAAACATATGCATAAATATTATTTTTAATATAATATTTATATTTTAAATATAATATTAATAAAATACATCTTTTTAATAGTACATAAATTAAATAAAAATAATTAAATAGTTGCTGGAACTTATGTTACTCGCTAGATCAATTCGTAATTATTTCCTCGTTAAATGAATCATAATATACTCTTTCCCATTTAATCTTACCCTAAGAAAAACAATTTTTGGCCAGTCAAAAAATAGATATATATACCATATACATTTATTGACAGCTTCGCAAAGGCGCAAAAAGGAAGTGGGCGTGGCTCTGAAATTGTCACTGGTTGGAGCAAGTGGATTTCGTTTGGCGCCTGGCATAATTAAGTTAGAACCTTTTTTTTTGCCACCGCCACCGCCACCGCCGCCGCCGCCGCCGCTTTGTGACGTGACTGGAGGGTTTTTCCCCTTGGAAAACAACCAGTTTTTCACAGCTTTCCCCCAACCCCAGAAGCGATTGTTATTGTTGGTGAAGCTGCTGCTGCTGCTGCTGGTGAAAGGACGCTCTGATTGCTCCTCGATGGCAAAAGGATGTGTCTAGGACACGCTCAAGCAGTTAACACACTCGACTGTACTTAGCCCTAAGCCCACGGAAACTAAAGGCGGCCTAAATATATATATATATATATATATAGAAGAATGGGGTGGCGATTGGGATTACCAAGAAGACGGAAAATTCTTGAGGAAAAAACAGCAGCAAATGGTTTGCTAAATGATAATCCCTTTTGCCAAAAGGAAACTCTCCTTGGGAGATAAGAAAATGGGGAAGAGATATGGGGTCGAGAGGGAGGAATGGCATTTAAAGTCAGATCATCATCCATCAAATAGAATTAGATACCCGAAAACAAAAATCTCTAAAGGCAGTCAATTTTCTAGTTTAGATATTTTGAAATTTGCTTAAAATGAAGAAAATGAGTTAGATGGATAGATTTTTCATCCCCTTCAAATATTTTAAAGAATTTCATTGAGGTAATTAATTAACTTGGAACTGGAAAAAGTTGTATCTTTCATCAACTAAAAGTATCTAAAATATACCAAAACACAAGGGAATCATTTTCATGAGTTTCCTGAACCCCATTGTAATTACATTACAATTGACTTTACAGTTCCAACAACTTTGGTAATGCACATTTTTTGTTTTTTTTTTTTTTTGTTTTGGGGGAGAAAAGTTTCTATTAAAAAGTTGAATCACAGCTGCAGTTGATCAATCAAAACAAGCCGATAAACTTTTTGTGGTCTAGATTCCATTTAAACATTGACTTTATCCCAATCCACGGATTTAAGCTGGCCCTTACTGTTGTGTATGTGTCTCTCTCTCATGGTTTTCCACTCAAACTTTTGTCAGTCATTTCCCATTTCACATTTTCCTGCCGTGTCCCCACTCAGCTAAAAAAAAATAGGATATACTATATGACACACACATTCGCATATACTCATCCATTATTCCCAATTCAAACTTTACCAATTACAAATCTGCTGCTGTGCAAAATGTTCGCTATCAACTTTTTGCATATTTTCCCCACAGATTATCCCCATACAAACTTAACCCCAAAAATGCTGCAAATATATATAGATATATCACTCTGTATTTATAAAAATAAAAGGAGAAATGATTTCCACTAATTGTGAACATTTTTCAACAGCTCTGAATGCTCTCTCCCCCTTTTTTTGTTTACACGAAAATCCTGCTGCCTGCTGCACATTTAATACATTCATTCATGTATATTTCTCTATATATATATTTATATATATTTTGTATTTATTTTGTCTTTTTCAGCTGGTCGGTGGTGAATTCGATATGGAATTGAATTTTGTGATACAGGATGCGCAGAATATCAAACATATGCTGGAGCTGCTGGATCATTGTCCGCCCAATTTGCAGGTGAGTTTTTCACTTTATTTTTATACAGAAAACAAACAATTGTCAAAGTAACTGCCCAAAAATCCACAAACAACACACATATTTTTATTTGTATATATACGTGTATGTTTTGGTGACTTTTTAATAGAATTTAATTCAATTCGCGCTGCGGCATCAAAGGAAATTAACAACAAAGGGGCGTGGCTGTTGAAATTGTGCGTAATGAAAACGCAACATCAACATGAAATGCCTTTCAACTCCCACCGCCAGCTTGTTTTTCCCCTTTTTTCTTTATTTTTTTTTTACTCCGCTCTGAGCGGTGCTTCTGGTTTTCTTACTTTTTCTTTTTTTGGTTCTTCTCCGATTTGCATATGAATTTGTGTGTATATAGAGAGAGAAAAGGGTGATATAACAAAATTTATAGGGAATTTAGAGGAATAAATGAAAAATTTGAAAGAGAAAATATTGAGGGTTTTTTAAAGCACTTAAAAGGGTTATGAAATATAAAGGACAGCAGAAAAAACGAATATTTATAAATATAAAATATAGAATTTTAGGGAAAAATATATTAAACTAGGTATTTCTTTTTACCAAATAAATATATTTACAAAGAAAGGAACAGAAAATTGGTATTAGTAGTATTATATATAGATTTCCTAATGAAGATCTTTTTTAATTCGACTTTTCACACCCTTGCAGGGTATTATACTTTTAGTCAAAAGCTTTAAACTAAGTGAAGGAGTCATTTTCGACCCCATAAATCATATATATTCTTGATCAGCATTAAAATCCGAGTCGATTTAGCCATGTTTGACAGCAGAAAAAAATTTCATTTTTTTCCCCATTTTTTAAGGCGTTATTTCATTAAAATAAAACAAAAAAATTGATAAAATTTAAAATTTTTATAATTATAAATTGAGTATACAGATTTATTACCCTAACAAAAACTAGCATAGGAAAGCTTGCCGGATTAAAATTAGTGCATTTTTGGCCTAGTTATGAGTTTTCAAAAATTTGTTTTTTCGACAAAATTGTCATATAAATATCTTGTTAAATATTAATTCAAAGAATCTGAATATTTTAAGCTTAGCTTTGATCAATTTTCGATTTGATTTATCAAACTGCAAGGGTATATAAGCTTTGGCTCCTTGAAATTAGTTTCCTTTTTTGCTTATAACGAAAACAGTATTCTTTATTTGGAAAGTCATATTTTCTTAGTTTTTTATATTGTATTATTATTTAATAGACCTAAAGAGTGATAGGTAGAGCTACAACAATTACTTGGACTTTATAACCCTTTTAAAACAGTGTCCAAACTGTGATATCAAATATTTTATCGTGAAAACATATATATTTATACCAAATTGTTGTAATTTACATATTTTTTCATACTTCAATACATATTTGTTTAGGGACTACAATGCCTTAAGAATTTACATTTATTTCTTTAAAGAAATATTAAAATTTACCCTTTCAAAGCTCATTGTTTTAAAAAAGAATTTATTAAAGTAATTGTTCCATAAAATATGGCTTTATTTTAGTGCTAAATATTTCAAAAAGAAAAGGAGAAAATTAGAATATTTTTTCTATGTGCATGGTGTGTGTGTGTGTGCTTGTGGGTGGCTTCGTCATGAGTGTGTGTGTGTGTGTTTGCGCTTAACAATATTTTACACCTGACGTTGTCGCTGTTCGCTCGCTTGTGCCATCAAATTATTAGCATGACTGCCGGCGAAAGGATCCAGTGCAGGTGTAGGTGTAGGTGTACGTATGTGTGTGTGAGTGGGTGTATTTCTCTTTTTATTTCTCCATTTTTTATACCAACTAACGTGTGCGTGTGTGTATGTGTGTGTGTGTTGACAGGAAGTGTTTTCTCCTGGCAGGCTGAGTGGGTGCTGGTGCTTTTGCTGGTTTTCTGGTTGTTGCCGGTGTCATCCCAAAGTGCGAAGGCGCAGACATCGGAAGCAGGTAGCTACAGTACCATAATATATATACACATAAATATGTGTATATATATCCATCTATCCAATGGAAAATCGCAACCAAGTTGCCGCTTTATGAGTTTCCATTGCATTGGTTCGTTGACCCCACCCACCTTCCTCTAGAAAATTCAGACGTTAACCACTGGAAAAACTCACTGCGAAATATAATTCAGAAAATAACAACAAAACAAGGAGAAACATTTAAAAAAAAGGTGAAAATTCCAGGAATAACAAAATTTTTGGTTCACACAAAAGCGCACTGAAGCATATCAAATGGCATTTTGCAAAAATATTTTTGTCAATAATGGCAAATAACACCAGAGTTTGTGTGCTTTGTTGTTTGAGGTTTATCTGATTAAATTCAATAGAATTATGACTTTAATTTATGGTTTTATAGTGTTTAAATACTTTGTTTGGAGTTTAAAATACAATGTTTGTTTAGATTTTAAAGCAAGAATGAAATTATAAAGCTTAATTAATTATTTTTGTGATTTTCTTAAGATTTTACTTGAAGTTTTAGCTAGTTTCTGGTGTTGAATGTATATTATTTACTTTCCTTCAAGTCTGAGTGTCGTCTTTTTGGCATTTTCTTTATTAAATACCTCTTAAAGATGGCTTTAACTCCATTTTGGCCCTGATTTTGCGTAGGTTGTGCTGTGTATGTCATCTTACCTGAAACGTGGCTCTGAGTATATTTGAGTGTGTTTGTGCCTTGCAAACAAGCGATACATTTAACAGCGTCTTACATATGACACACACACACACACTTTACACACATCCTACACACCTCCAAAATATCAGCCCCTGTAACTACTCTTTAATGATATGCGTCAGTTGCTTGTTTCCGCTTTGTTGGCCTAGATGTTTGCTCTTGTTGCGGTTGAAGCCTTACAATTTATTTGGCTTTTTAAATTAATGAAAATTGTCAGTGACAAATTTTTGGGCACTGTGTGTGTGTGTGTGTGTGCGTGTGTTGTGTAGCATGTGTCATCCCTGGATTGTTGGCATATGTAAAACAAGCATCAAATATGCATCATCGGTGTGGTGGTGGCGCCAGGATCTCTCTTACTTCATTTGGCATGCGAGGCAGGTGTGAGCCCCCTTCCCCCCCTGAACAACAAAACCGCCCACAGAATTTACGAGCATTTTATGGGGCACTAAGGAAAGTCACCTACCCACCCACCACCCACCACCTACCCTATCTTTTACCTTATGCGAAGATATGTCCCCTTCAAGGATATTATATGTTGTGCTCAGAGGCCTACAAAAGCAGCGGGATTACCCCTATACATTTTTAACTTTATTTTTGTGTAAAGCTTGCTTTTTTATATTATCTTCGCTTTATTTTGAACAAGAAAATATTTAATAAATGTTTATATTTTTTAATATGATGCAATATTTATGTATAAAATGTTTCCTTTAAATTCATTTATTATACACATTAGAGTCTTTTTAGTAAAAATATTTTTGAATTTACAGTCTTTCATGAGGTTTTCCTCTTACATTAAATTACATGTTTATTAAATATAATACATGCTAATATTTATTTATAATATAATATTTATGTATAAAATGTATCCTTTGAATTCTGATTTATATAAATAAGAGTCTGTTTGGTGAAAATATTTTTGTATGTTCAGTATTTCATGAAATTTTTCTCTTTTATTTTATATTTCATATATTTTATAGTTTGTTTATGTACGAATTCATATACTCTTTCTCTATATACCTGGTTCAGGGAGAGGTCGTCTTAAATGATTTATGTTCAACTACAGGAGTAGTCCTTTTGGCCACCTTTTGCCCCTTCTGTTACAATTTCCCTCCGCCCTTTGATTACAAACCCCAACACCCCCCCTTTCGACAATCGTCGACAGCAGCCGTCGCCCAATTGATTCGGCACGTAACTGAGGCAAGTGCAAATAACTGTTTTAGTCCTTGTACCTGTGACAGGTGCCTCGCCCCACCCGGCAACCATAACATTTTATACTTGACAATAAATTCATCGCCCTTTTCGGCCGTGTCCTGTCGTGTTCGTGTTCGTGTTCGTTCGTCCCTTTAAATCAAAGCTTCTTTTTTGGAAAATTAAGGCCGTAATGCGGCCTACCAACTTGGAGGGCGGATGCTCCTTTTACTCCTGTTCCTCCTGCTGCTGTTTACCCCACTTCGACCGCATATTTGTCGTGGCTCGTCGCCTCTGTATGCTCAATAAAATTTTACAGCCTTTGCCAGCTCAGCAATTTGCGTAACTCTTGCCACAGTCAGGAAAAGGAGCTAAAAAGGCGCTGAAAAGGATTCAAGCTGAGAGAGAGAGTGGGAGGGTGAAGAGAAATGGCCCAGGACGAAAGGCAGGTGGGAATCAACAGACGAACACCTTTCACCTTTCATCGAATTGGTTTCCGCTCTTTGTTTTTCCCTCCCTCTCTCCACCCTTTTGCATTCGTTTGTCCTTTCCTTCATTCATTCATTCTTTCTTCCTTGTTTTTTTCTTTGTGTGTGTGTACTTTTACTTCCACCTGGGAGCCGCCGGTAGCTGTAAATAACTTTGTTAAAGGCCGCAAACAATGTCCTGCTGTTGACCCAGGCGGGGTGTCCTTTTAAAATGAACCCCAAGCCCCAAAGCAATGAGTATTCCGGTTTTTCAGGTTGTCAAAAGAAAAAGTCAATCAATTGGTATTATTCATAAATGAAAAGTTGATTATTGATAGCCTGGAAATAATTTATATAAATATTAATACCCTTACTTGGAGGTTTATTTTAAGGTTTAATTATGCAAGGAGAACTTGTTAGGTAGTTTAAGATTTTTTTAAATTTATTTATTTTCTGGGTGCATTTCTGTAGTCTAAAGCACCTAAAAATGTTGTCTAAAATGTAATAAAATTATTTTTAAAAAGAAGGAGCTTTGAATGCATCTTAAGATATATAATTTAAATTAATAGATTTTAAGGAACCTATTCGTTATAGCCTGAAAGCTTAAACTCCAGCCTTAAAGATATAATTTTTTTTAAATAAATTTATATTAGGTGGAAAGTATAAAACATACTT